AAAATAGTAAATATTTTATTTTATTTAAACTATTACCTTCTTTAAACAAAATTATTTGCTAATCCAAAATCAATTCGTTGATAACCTATTCATTCTGATCCACACATAAATAAAAATAATTGTTATCACCAATTAAAAATACGCTCTCCCAAAATTAATCGGTGACATATACAGTATGTTGCGAAAAAAATGGCACCTGCATTCTAACTAAAGAAGTAATAAAAATCATATAATAAAAATTATATCAAAGGATCAGACAATCTTGAATTATCACATATAGAAATTTTGAAATGCATTATTATTATGTAGGCTTTAGAGCAATTGTTATATTAGATTTCTTTTTCCAAAAATAATTGAATTTACTTTATTTTTAATTGATAAAATTCTAAAAAATTTGGAAGCATGGGGTTTTATATAAATAATCTCTAGAAATTGAGCTGCAAAATAGCTGTATTTTTTTTTGTTATTATTATGTACGGTTTTGTTTAATTGTTACCTTTGAGATGTCTAATACTATTTGGTGAAGCCAAAAAATTTAGTGACATCTAAAAAAAAGATGTAAATCAACTTTACAAAAAAAAAAATGGTAATAGTAATCCATAAAATTTTTTTTTTATTTAACAAACTATTCAATAGGCTTTTAAATGAATGTAATTTTATTAAATTATCTTTTGTAGTTGTTGAGATATGCTATTCTTCATCAGTGCCATTTTTTTCAATATGCAACAAGTATCACATAAACTCATATATGAATTGATTGATGAATTTTTCCAGAGTCCAAATTTGGTATATTCCCTGACTGTAATTGATGATGACAATAAATAATAGGTTATGAGGATCAAACTGAATAGGATGTTTAGTTTTGGTTATTTTCAAGTTGAAACTTGTTATTATTTTCTTTTATTCAAGAAAGGGAAAAGTTCTTGTCATTTATATATACATGTTTATAATTAGAGGACCACTTTAATGACCAAGTCTACTTTATTGACTTTGGAGATGTTGTCTACTAAGTCTACTATTGTGTCTCATTGACTTAATACAAATTAAACAACACGTGTCGAAACAAAACATCAATAAATAAATAAATAGGATAATGTCAATAAGAGAGATTAATTCAAAGGTAGGTAGGTGTGGTGCTGGTTGTGGGAGTAATAGTAGAATTGTTAGATAGTGAATGAATTATTTATATCTGGTAAAGGTTTGATAGCAAAGAACAAAAAAACTTGTATTTTTACGATTAGGATTATAAATCTAAGTCATATAACAACTACCACAAACTTTTATTTTTTTGATGCAGCTTCTGACAACCTTCCCAATTTTCTTGATTTATTAATTCGACACACTTGACAAGTATTCTCCTTCACATTACTTTACTTAAGGGTGCAAACATATGAACACCTGAGATTACAACACTACTACGGCATATGTCATGTGACATTATGCAAGTGCCATATATGCAATATGATCACCAAGTAAGGTTACAGTCAAACACACATCAAGAAAATTTTGTTGTGACAAGATTACTAATTATAATAATTATTATAATCTTTTCACAAAAATTTAATTATAGTGTTTGACTGTACCTGGACTATTTTTTGATTTACCTAATTCGGGTTGGCACCACTTAAAAGAAAAGATAAACAGTTCCGACATAGTTATGACATAGCCCTGTCGTACTGTGAGTTATAGTTCAACAATATGGTTGCACTTTTAATTATATTATAAACGGTAATTTTCGAAATGGGATACTTTTTTTTAAATGGGATTCTTATTACCACTATATTTAATGGTCGCAGGAGAATGAACAAATTGCGTAAAAAAAATATACAAAAAATTATTTTTCATTGATTCCATTCCATTTATTTATTCATTCGAGAGAACATTTTATTTGATATTAATATAATATTTCATCACCATCATTGCCACCAGTACCAGTGAAGTCATGTTGGAACAGTTGGTTTAATTTTTTAATATGGATTCAATCTTACTTTCATTTAATTGAATCATTTATTGAGTCAGAATTGTAGTCAGTGAAGAAATCAAATCCCTAAGAAATTTAAAAGAAATATTTGAAGATCCAAATAAAAAAATATATTTGGAAGTAATCATTAGCTTTATTAAATTTAATTCTTCAGGGTAAAAAAATATGGTTCACATACTTTTTTTAATAACTTTTCTCTAACCAATAATTAATAATTTTTATTTTTACAGATTAATAAATGATTTGGAATTCTTTAAAATTAGAAATAAGCCAGTAGCACCATATGTTGCCACACATTTAGAAGTAACGAATGCAATGCTTCTTTCAGGTTGCAGCCAACCACCTTTAAACAATGGAGTTTTGGGGTTAATTAATGATTATTATTTGGATTTGGATTATTATATTGCCATTTTTAAAGAAGCATTTAAATTATCATTGGACAAATTTAAAAAACATATTGAAAATCATCCAGCAGTTCCTTTGTTTAAAGCAATCAGATGTTTTGATCCTCATTGTATTCAATCAAATTTCAATTATCATGCTTTTTCAACATACTTTGTCATCAAGGAGTTCAACAACTATAGTGATAATCTCATGAATGAATGGGGAATTTATTGTAATTTACATGAAAATTTTGATGAAAATTTCAACTTAAATAATTATTGGAATGAAAAGATAAATATATTCCCAACATTAAGTCCAATTGCATTAAAATATGTTTGGCTTCCTGTGTCTGGTGTTGATGTTGAAAGATCTTTTACATTGAATTTTATACACTGCTGATGAATAATACAGTGCGAATCATCTATACTCAAAAGTTAAAAATTTTGAAATATTATGTGATCCACTCATTGGATTTTAAAAAACTTACCACCATTCAATTCAGCTTTAAAAGGGGAGTCTATTAATCTATAAAAAAAATTTGTCTCAAATTTTCTTTTCATAGATTTTTTAAATTTGAAAGTTATGCTCAGAA